CTATCAAGCCTAGCTCACAGCAACTTCAAACTCCTGGCTCAAGCGATCCTTCTGCCTCAGCCTCCGAGTAGCTGGGACTACAGGCATGTGCCACCATGCCCAGCTAATTTTTTCTATATGTATTAGTTGGCCAATTACTTTCTTTCTATTTATAGTAGAGATGGGGTCTTGCTCTTGTCAGGCTGATTTTATCTCCTTTTTTTTAACTGGGAATTCCAAAAGTGGAGTTAGGTTCAAGGCTTCTTAAACAAGAGCCTCCAGGGGGCCTATTTCCCCATCCCTCAGCTTTCCTTCTCACTGTGTTGTATCCACCTCAGGCAGCTTCTTCCCTCTGCAAACAGGATGGCTGCCCTGGCTCAGCACTGTGCTAGTCAGAGGAAAGGTGCACACCTCTCTCTGGTTGGCCTAGGAGCAGTGCTGGACCGGTCTGACTGGATTACTCATCCTCATTCCTAATGGGGGAGAAGTGAGGGGCTAAGAACCGGAATGATTTAAAGAACCAGAGCCCTACCCCTGAAAAAGTGGGGTATAGAGCCCAACCACATCTGAATCAATAATATGGACTACAGTGAAAAGCGTGGTTCCCCAAAGAAGATCAAGAGATGTTCACTACAACATGTGATCCCTGTTCTGTATCCCTACCAAGAAATTCTGACATGTCCTTTGAAGCTTCATGTAGTTCTAGGATGTATAAATTTAAAGGAACACTAAAATACTCCCTTACAGGGGCTAACGTGGTGGCTGTAATGCTACCACTCTGGGAGGCCAAGGCAGGTGGATCATTTGAGTTCAGGAGTTCGAGACCAGCCCGAGCAAGACCCCATGTCTACTAAAAATAGGAAGAAATTAGCTGGATAACTAAAAATATATATACAAAATTAGCTGGGCATGGTGGCGCACATCTGTAGTCCCAGATACCCAGGAGGCTAAGTCAGGAAGATCGCTTGAGCCCAGGAGTTTGAGGTTGCTGTGAGCTAGGCTGATGCCATGGCACTCTAGCCTGGGCAACAGAGTGAGGCTCTGTCTCAAAAAAAAAAAAAAAAAATTTACTCCCTAACAAATGGATAATTCACTTGGCAGAAGTCACTAGAAGATGGAAAGTGTATGTGGATGGCCAGAAGAGGTTCAGAATGTTTTTGTGAACAGAATTGGAGGGATTAAGAGAACTCCACTGAAAGACACATGCTTGACTAACATTACACACTCAAACAAAGAAACAAGGAAAGTAGTGGGAAAAAATGACATAACAAGATGGGAAAAGAACATTTAGGTGTTTTTCACTGTTTGCTGATGAAAAGAAAAAAAAAGAACATTTAGGTGATTTACATACATCATTTCTCTTAATAAACTGAAAAATTAAATATATTTATTGCTTGTCTGCTGTGTCAGTTTTCAAGCCCTGGTGATGCAGATGTGACCACAATAGGAAAAAGCTGGACAAAACCTTAAGAGTGTGGTTCGGCACAGTAGCTCATGCCCATGCCTGTAATCCTGCTACTTGGGAGGCTGAGGCTGGTATTGTTTGAGCCCAGGAGTTGGTGTGCGCTATGATGATGTCACTGCACTCCAGCCTGGGCAACAGAGTGAGACTCTGTCCCCCCACCAGGAGGGGGACAAACAAAAACAAAACAAAACAAAACAAAACAAAACAAAACCTTAACAGCACATACAACCCAGCAAGCCTGGTATTATTATCTTATTTTAGAGAGAGGAAACTAATAGAGAGGTTAAGGGATTCCGACACTTCAGCAGTAACAAAACAAGCAGTGGGGACTGCCATCCAAATGCAGGACTGTCTGACTTCAGAGCCTTTGATTTGATAGAAGAAAATAAAATTAAAAAGAGGAGAAAAGCTTACACAGAGGAGGGGAGTAAATCAAGGCAAATATAACTAGCTAGAAAAGAAGATCTAGAGGAGGGAGAAAGGAGAAAGAGAAAAGATTTGCTAGAATCACCCCTCAACTGGGAAACACCCCAGGCAAGGTCAGCACAGGGCCTGGCTCAACAATTCCCACTCCCCCTCTTTCCTTGTGGTATGAAATTCCCATTTTACAAGTGAGGAAACCAGGCTTAGAGATATCAAATCTTTGCATTATTCCTCCCACTATAAACTTTTCAGAACCACAATAAGAGACAAGGCTTCAGAGGAAAAATATCTGGGAGAGATAAAAAAACAATTGGCATATCTTTCAGCTAAGAGGAAGTAAATCACTGAAAATATGGGTTATTTTTCTTCCCCCCCCCCAGCAGATATAACTAAATTTAGCAGTATGTCAGACTAGACTGAAAGGGTCTTGGCGTAGGGGTAAATTGGGGTCACGAGACAAAGTTCATAGCTGAACTATTCAGGAGAGGGAGATCTTGGGTGATTTTTCTAACAAAATCAACAGTATCTCTACCCCAATATAGTTCACTATTTTTGTGGCTTGGTCTTCCCAGGGGAAGAGGCCCAGGTAAATTCAGCAGCTTTTGCCAGGCAAAGCAAGTGCTGCTAGGAGAAAGGCCCAAGCTACCCTGCTTGGCACTTGCATAGGGGCCCAGAATTTTTTTTGAGACAGTCTCACTGTTGCCCAGGCTAGAATGCAGTGGCATCAGCCTAGCTCACAGCAACCTCAAACTCCTGGGCTCAACCAATCCTACTGCCTCAGCCTCCCAAGTAGCTGGGACTACAGACATGTGCCACCATGCCCGGCTAATTTTTCCATTTTTGGTAGAGATGGGGTCTCGCTCTTGGTCTGGCTGGTCTCAAACTCTGGAACTGAAACGATCCACCCGCCTTGGCCTCCCAGCGTGGTAGGATTACAGGCATGAGCCACCACGCCGCGCCGGGGACTCAGAATTTAAACTCAATCTTTTTTAGAAAATTCTCTTTCCTGTTACTTGGTAAAGGTGACAGTTTCCATATCACCTGACCGGTCTGATTTGCCGTCTGTGCCACGCCCTGGAAGTTTGGGTGCAAAGGGGGAAACCTGCTAGAGTTGGGCAAACTTTCCAAGCCAGGCTTTTCCTTAAGTGTGGGACGTAGGCGGCTGCAGTCTGGTGCCAGCATGGTCACAAACAGCTCAGTGACCTTGGGAACAACTGTGAGCCACGTTTGTAAACGCGATGTTTAGTCCCTGACTAACCACTCACAAGGGTGAAATAATTAACCATTCAGCCAATACCTTAATCTTGTTAGGAGCCAACGGCTCTATCAGTGCTCGGCAGTGATGGCAATGGTTTTGTTTATTAAACCCCAGCCCATGTGGACGTGAGGAAGAGGGGTCTGTGGGAAACTCGCGGGTCAGCAGAGTGAAGAACACCCGAGCAAGCGCCAGGGTCGTGGCGATTAGCGCCCAACAGCTCACCTCTCCACCACAGGGCGGCACGGCCCAAGCGCGCTCCCAGCAACCGCGGCTCCCGCTGAGCTTGTAGCCGTTACGTCACGGCCTCCTCCGCCTCCCATTGGGCGTGTTCGTCCAATCATGTGATTCCCAGTGTGGCGTATAAATAAAGGCGAGGAGAAGGCGGTGGTCCGCCATTTCGTGGACGCCGGGTGAGAGAGAGCATCGGTGCGAGTGCGGCCGGAGCAGAGCGGGACGGTCCATCGGAGCGTGAGGACTTGAGCCTCCGCACTTAAACCTTAGATTTCGGTAAGAGACGGCGACAGAAGGTGTGACGTGGAAATTGGAACTTTCCCAGTAGCGAGGTGGAGCCAGGCCCAATGGCGGCGCCAGATTGAGACAAAGAGGCGCCGCCGCCATTTTGTGACGTTCAGCACGGGGCGGTGGCGGGGGCCACCGGCCCACCAGAGGGTTTCCTAGCCTTGGAATGGAGGTGTTTATACCCTTCATTGGGGGGTGAACCGCGATAGGGGATTAGCCGGGAGATGGGATGAAGAGGGGGAGCCGGTAACCGAGTTGTACTCCTGGTCGCGGCCTTTCAATTTTTATGGCGCCTTTTTTGGTGGGGGAGGGGCTCATTTTCTCGGGAAGCTTCTCAGGATTTTTTCCCCCAATTCAGTAATCAAGACTAGAGTTTTCGGTTTATAGTAAATGGCTTCCGTACTTGACCTTTATTTTGATGTAGTTTTAATTTGATTCCACTTTTTACAGCTTGAATCTAATCACTTTTTATTTAACTGGACAATTTTTCTTGAAGTTGAGCTGCATTGTTCATGTAGCTGCTTCCCACTAATACGTAGGCTGAAAGTGGTCATGGCAGTGTTTTTTTTTTTTTTTTAAATAAATTACCACCAATGCTTTGGTCTCAAAACTAACTCGTGGGAACAGGGTGTGGTCACAGCAAATAGGACGTTCCCTGACTTGGATTTTTTAATTAGATAAGCCCAGAGTGAGAGGGACGTGGTGTTTATGGAAAGCTTCTTCAAGATGAATTATTGAGTAGGTTGCTTTTATATAATTGAAACAGATCTACAAGTTGATTTTATTGCTGAAGTGACTTTTAAGTATTGAAGTTTTATCAGAAATAAGCCCTTGGAAGTGCAGTAATTTGAGTAAGAAATGTCGTTTTGTAATCTAGTTTTTATTGAAGTGAAATTCAAGATTTAAAGTGTACAGTTCAGTGGTATTAAATATGTTCTCAAATGTTTTGCAACCATAGTTTCTATCTAGTTTCAAAACATTTCCATCGCCTCCCAAGGGGACTTGTACCCATTAAGTTGTTACCTGCAGTTCCCTCAGGTCCCACCTTCCTCCGGATCTGGCAGCCATTAGTCAGTCTATACAGACTTAGCCATTTTAGATATTATTGCGTATAGGTGGATTCATATGATGTCTGCACGTTGTGTCTGGCTTCATTAACATAATTTTCAACGTTTTGGCATTTGTCAGTACTTCATTCTGAATAATATCTCATAGTAGGGCGGTTATACCACATTTTGTGTATCTGTTTTATACCACATTTTGTGTATCTGTTTATCTGCTGGTGGACTTTCGGGGTTAGCACCTTTTTGGCTACTACAAAGACTGCTGTGAGCTTACATTTTTTTAAAAACTTGACACTTGGTCTTCTGCTTGAATTTTTACTGCATAAGACTTCTATTTAATGACATATGGTAGGTATCAGCCTTGTTCTTGTAGAAAATGAAAAGTTTCTGTAGAATCAAATTTAGCATTTTTTTAAGTGAAAATTGTTGGCCTTATTTTATTAAAACTGATTAGGTTTTGGCCTATGAAAGCACTTTTCTATCACTTGCCTGGTGGTATAAGTACTGGCTTTCTTGTCTTCATCATTGATCCATTTGGTTTTCAAGTCTCCAGCAGAATTTGTTTCTGAGCAGATTACCTACTTTTCTAAATGCTTTATTTTGGGGATTAAATGAAATGATAGGTTAAGTCCCTAACTTATGGCTCACATTGTGGTTAATAACTCTTAATTTGCTGGCTTTCTAAGGCTGTGAGTAAAGATTGGGGAGAATTGATGTTTCAGCAGTAGTATTTCTTGTTTGTTTGTTTGTTTGTTTTTTTTTTTTTTAGCATTTTGGAATTCTTTCCTGAGGATCTGTTTTTTTATCTATAGATGAATTGGATAAATTAATATCTTTGGTATTCTTTTGTTACAGAAATGCATCGTGATTCCTGTCCATTGGACTGTAAGGTTTATGTAGGTAATCTTGGAAACAATGGCAACAAGACTGAATTGGAACGGGCTTTTGGCTATTATGGACCACTCCGAAGTGTGTGGGTGGCTAGAAACCCTCCCGGCTTTGCATTTGTTGAATTTGAAGATCCCCGAGATGCAGCTGATGCAGTCCGCGAGCTAGATGGAAGGTAATTTTAATGATTAATTTTTAGTAATGGTAAATGTTGTGTGTGCTTTTACTATTTAAAATCTCTAGGACATGTGGTATTTACATGGCTTTTTAAAGTCTTTAGAAATAACTGTGGAATTAAATATTTTAAGAGTGGTTATAAACTGAGAGCGGTCTTTTTTTTTATCATTAGTAGTGAACATGGATTGATAATTGTTTAAAATTGTTTACAAATGATAATTACACAGGGTTTTAGTGTACAATTAGCTTTAGTTTTATGTGTTTGAAATAATTCCAGGAAGTGTGAATTGGTTACTATTTTCCTTAGTTTATAGTGTTCTGTTAGTTGACCAAGTAACACCTGAGTTCTTTCCTCTCCCCCTCCCCTCCACGTTTGGAAACCATTGCAGTTCATGAAATCAAGGAAAACAGCTTATCCTTCAGATTCAAAAATCGGTTCTGCTTCAGAATTTCTGTCCTGGAGCATGTCAGTAGTGCCTTAAATGGGACTCTCTTCTTAACAACAAAAAAAAGGGATCTGAGAGTTGGCTGTAAAGCTGTATGAAAGATCCTTCATTCAAGCAGGTTGTAGTAATGTTTTCCAGAGCCCCACTGTTCCCAATTGCTGTCCAAATATGGTCTATCGAAATTTAATAGCTATGGGTGGATAAAGGGTAGGGGATAATGGACTTTTTCTGCTATTCTTGGTTGTGATTTCTTAATGTGCCAGTTATTGAGGGGAGAGGGTGATCTGAAAGCCAAAATGGTTGTCTTGTCTTCAACGGTATACTTGGAGAATGGTTGGGGGAGAGCCAATAAATACAGCATAGTAAGAAGTGCTGGAACCTCAATGGGAAAAGTCACAATGAAGACGCAGTCCTAGTTCTTCCAGGATAAATCCAGGGATCTTCACATTTAGGTCGCAATTGTTAAAAAGTTAGCATTGAGCTTAATAAACAGACTGGCTCTGACAAAAAGGTAGAAGAAAGTTGGTTTCCTTGTTAATTGGTACTTTAAATTTAATTGTGCTTAATTTGAAATTAAACTGGAGAACGAGTTCAATCATTTAATATTAGAAAAATATGGGAACTGAAACTTGTTTTGATATTAAAAGTGTACATTCAATCTTGTTTGTAAAGTAGCTAACTGGGAGTGTTTACTTTTCACTTTAGTATACGTGTCTCAGAAAGGTAAACTGTTTTAAATTTGTCTCTTCCCCCTCATAGAACACTATGTGGTTGCCGTGTAAGAGTGGAACTGTCTAATGGTGAGAAAAGAAGTCGAAATCGTGGCCCACCTCCCTCTTGGGGTCGTCGCCCTCGAGATGATTATCGTAGGAGGAGTCCTCCACCTCGCCGCAGGTATTTGAGAGATAGTGTGTTTAGAGGTATTGGTGTAATGGAGTAGCTAGTAGGAGCAGGTATTTCTCCTAAGTTTGTTGGGTTTTAAACGTTGAAGAATCGGAGGTTTTTATGAAACTTTTGCTGGGTGTAGTTTGGGGTATGTGAGTTGTGCTGAGTGTTGGCTTTTGTCTTTAGGTCACTGTTCATGTTGGTAGTCAGTAACTTCTATCTTGGATCTATCTTCTAGTTCATCTTCTAGTTGCATCTTTCCAAGTCTTTATACTTCAGTTTAGGCCTTTTTCCATTTCTTGACTCCATAATGACAAACATTACATTCAACTCTAGCTCTTCACAATAATGTGTTTTCTACTGTTAGCACAATTGTAATATTTATTAAACAGGCAGCTGTTTTAATGTTACAACTGGTAAAGTAGAAGTCATTCTGAAACTAACTTAAGTCACTGACCAATAAAGGGGGCTAAAAAGAAGTAATCCCAGTCATCTGTTCTTCAATCCCAAATAGGAGAGAATTCAGTTTTTTTGTAATTGAAAATGGCATCATTCTTGGACCAGGCAGTATTGTCTGGATGATAACTCCACATCTCCTCAAATCTCCAAAATAGTTTCTATGGGACTAAATTTACCTCTTACAGGTGAGTGAAGTCCTTCTAGGAGATAGGAGTTCAAAATCTTGCCCCTTTTGCTATTTTGAAAAACAACAACACACTGTTGCCCATCATAATAAAGAGTATTTGTTAGCTAATAGATGGTTGTACTGATGGCTTGTTTTTCATTTTTTTTTGTGCTTTTTGGTCCATCTATTAATAAAAATGAACCCCGTTACAGAGTCACCATCATGTCTCTTCTCACCACCCTCTGAATCTGCATTAGCCAGTCAACTAGCCCTTTCAGCGTCATGTGACCAGCGCGCCCCATTCAGCTTGGCTGGTGTCGTTTCACATGACCCAGGCTGGCCAGTCGTCAGGTTGCACCGCCCTTTGGTTCCCGAGCATGCTGTTTTCTCTCAGCCTTCTCTCCAACCTTAACCAAATCGGCAGCAGCCACCTCGACCGCCCACACATTCCTGGCCAATCAGCTCAGCTGTTTATTTACCAAATGTCTTCACAACAACTACAGCAGCAGCCTTCGGCTAACAAAAAAGCAGGAAAAATCCACAACACCCCCTTCGCCAACCAACTAAATCCAACGCAACATCTGGCAAAACCTTTTCAGCAAATTCTTCCTGGCCGTCAGTCCGGCAGCCTCACCTCACCATTTCTAGCTTGTTGAAACCCAAAACTAGTAAGTTTTTCCTGCTTATACAGTTTACTGCTGGTTAAAATAAGGAGTAAGCGGCTTAAAGTAATTCTTTTTTCTGGATCAAAGGCTGGCTGTGCATAATTGAATGGTAACGTACATATATATTGCTTGAAAAAACTTTTAAGGGTGATAGGGAACTCATAATGTAACTAGACCTTCAAGTGAAACTTATTTGCATGTGTGAGATGCCAAACTAAAAATTTTAATATCTCTAACAGATTTAGCTTTCCTTTCTGGCAAAAATTTGTTGAAGCCTATCACCTTTAAATGGTTTTACTAACAGTTTTCAAAATTTTAAAATTTTGGGGGTGAAGTGTGGGCCAAGCTAAGGTGATTTTGATAAGCCTAAACACACTCTTAAATGTGACGATCACAAATGCAGTTCTAATGTAGCACTTAATGGCATCAATATTTACACCTAGCGCGTTTTCACAAAAATTACACTATCCACTTGGTACCTAAGTCTTGTCATGGACTTATAGGTTTGCATGGGTTCCAAATACTGGTTTATGGTACTGTTTTTGGAACTACTTGTGGGGACTACATTTTGGTGTGGTGTTTGGGTAGTGAAGTTAGTTTGACATGAAGTTTTGCATTGGACAGATCTGCTGTGAAGCATTCTTTGTTAAAGTGAATCCATGGTTGGAATACCTGCTTTTCACTTGAGCTTTTTGTTCCTTAATCTTTCCGTGCCTTTTTTTTCTTTTCTTTTTTATTTATTTATTTATTTTTGGACGATGGGTGCCAGTTCTTCGGCACATTCACTGGGCCCAACAGTGAGATTGAAAAGTTGGGAAATACCTCACGCCATAAATGATAATTGATGATTAGCCTAATTTTCTTGTTTCTGCTTTTAGATCTCCAAGAAGGAGAAGCTTCTCTCGGAGCCGGAGCAGGTAAATAACTTCTACCTGTTTTGGCTACATTCTCAGAAATGACACTGTTTCTCCTATTCCAAAGCTGTTTTTCAAATGACTTGGTTAATGGGAATAGACTTTGACTCTAGCAGTGAATCATGGCATATAAAACTGACATTAGATTGCAAGGATAAGCCAGCTTTCAATTTTTAAAGACTTCTTAGAAAATAATTCTGTTAATTGTAATTATCATACTTAAATGACCCTCGTGTTCTTTCCCTGGTTTAGGTCCCTTTCTAGAGATAGGAGAAGAGAGAGATCACTGTCTCGGGAGAGAAATCATAAGCCCTCCCGATCCTTCTCTAGGTCTCGAAGGTAAGATCTTGCATACTTATGATACACTGAGGTCTGTCTTCTAAGCCCTAATTTTTTACCTTAATCTATTGATAATATGTCACTAAGTGTCACTAAGTAACAGATGTAAAAGTTTTTGTTTTGTTTCTTTTAGCCGATCTAGGTCAAATGAAAGAAAATAGAAGATCAGTTTGCAAGAGAAGTGGTGTACAGGAAATGACTTCATTTGACAGGAGTATGTACAGAAAATTCAAGTTTTGTTTGAGACTTCATAAGCTTGGTGCATTTTTAAGATGTTTTAGCTGTTCAAATTTATTTGTCTCTTGGAACAGTGACACAAAAGCTCTAATTCTCTATGGTTTGAAATGGATCATATGAGGCATGTAATACCAAGAATTGTTACTTTACAATGTTCCCTTAAGCAAAATTGAATTTGCTTTTTAGTTTTGCATAAACTAATAAACCTCTAAATTCTGCCCAGTTGAAGTTTGGATTTTTTTAAAATACAGAAACAAAATTGGCAAAAATTGAACTAAGATTTCCCTTTTTATCCACATCTGGGATATAGTATACAGCTATAGTTGAACAAGCAGTCTTTAAAAGCTGCTGTGAAACAAGCCAACAGGTAGAAATAAAAGCTGCACTATTATACTAAATTAGAGGTTTTTGAAAAATCTATCTAGTTTTCACCCTGGGCAGAGGTTGCCTAATTGGTATAGTTAGAATCTGGTAAATTCCAAGAAACTTTTTTTGTTTGCTTTAGATCATAAGTTCCTTATGTGATTGCTATATATGAATACATAGCTGTTTGTAATGTTCTTTATTTGGAAATTTGAGATAATCAAAATACCAATGTCCTGCCAGTTTAAGGGTACATTGTAGAGCTGAACTTTGAGTTACTGTGCAAGATTTTTTTTTTCCATGCTGTCATTTGTAATATGTTTTGTGAGAATCCTTGGGATTAAAGTTTTGGTTACAATTGTTGTTTAACTTGAAAGCCTGTTTTTCCTTGCAAACTCAAATCTGTGAGCTTGGTACAAAGTCCAGGTATAACATTCCTATTGGAAGCCATACTTATATTTTCTTGTAAAGTGCTTTTGAATTAATAAAATATTAGCATAATTGTGTAATAGTCAGTTGGACCCACTGTTACCATTGTTTTTACCCCAGGGGAAGCATTTGGTTACACAATGCTTATTATAAGAAACATTACCTGAAAGGCACTATGGATTAGTCTTCTGAAGTGACAGGAATACTTATCACCTAAGTGATAATAGTTACCCATTCTTTTAAGGAGTAGAAGCCAATTTAAGATCCATGATAGTGACCAGTATTTTAAAGTATAGCAGCAACCTGATACTTATAACCCAGAGTTGCCCGCTTAAAAGTGGCTTTTATCTTTAGCATGAAAAGTTTCCACAAAGTTTTAAAACTTGCTTCCATTTTATAATTTGAGGTGTTGCATGGGAATACTAAACCAGTCCATCATGATGTAAAGTTCACGATATGGTTCAAATGTAATAGTGCAGAATTGAATGAATATGGAGGCATGCATAACCTTCCTTTTAGAAAATGGGAGGGGTTGTAATTTCAAATTTTTGTGCAATTAGATTAAATCATAATGCAACAGTCTTGTGGTTTAGTTTCCTTAAATATGTTCTTTTAAGATAGTTTTGATTATGCTGTACTGACTTTGTCTTTAACATGAAAGATAAGTCACTGCATTAAGAGTTAAATCTATAAGGCTGTATTGAGATTTAGGCCCTAAAATTATTTCCAGTGGTCCTATTAAACATTCACACAAATCTCAAGGGACAGGAGATTTGCTGTCAGGAAGGTTCAGTATGAGCCTTTTACGGTTGGGCATGTTCCAGGAAGACACTTTTTTTTTTTTTAAAGCTGGCCTATGATTACTGGGAACTCTGGGTTTTTGGACCTTTTGGTGTTCCCCCATAGCCTAAATTAAATACATGTTCCTGTTATAAAAGAGGCAAGATAGCTAAGAAGTAAAGGAAGCAATATGATATGTCGGTCATACTGCTTTTATAAACGGACACTTCCATGGGCTTTTTTGAGCAGTATACAACTTGGAGTCTTAAATTGGAAGAGCTTCTGTAAAAAGAGGATAATTGGTTATGGTAGGTATAATGTGGCTAATAAAGGAATAATACAGAACCTGAAATAAGTTGACTTCATTAGGGAGTTATCCTTGCCTTAGAAGTTGGCAATTACTTTAACCAGAAGTCCTAAGCACAATTTTATGGCTTGTAGAATATTTGGAAACATGGAGGTTGTTAAAACCTTGAATTGATGTGGCTATTTGGAAGTTCTGAAGCTTCTGTAATTTCTAAAATTATAGGTCTCGTTAGCTACTCTTCATCTTCCTGAGTTGATTGTAATACTAAAAGTCACAAAACAACTTTGACTACAGGTGTTCAGTAGAAGTCACTTAATACTTTGTGATAATGTAAGGAAACATCTAAGGATTATAATGGGCTCTTTCAAGAGTATTTAACTTAGTCTGTGGTTCTCAGTTCATTGTGGACTGCTTCTGACCTCCATGTCTTAAGCAGAAAGTTGAAAACAAAATCACCGGGAAAACTTCAGTTTTACAAGATGTAGCTATCCTGTATGTACCATTCGTATGTTTGAATATCTTGGAGATCCTTGAAAAGATTATGTGATCTGTAAATGGCATCTGTACCCTGTTAGACCACAGTTAGTAGTGACTCACACTCAAACCCTTATGTGGATGGGAAATCCTGGTTTCTTTTCATTATATTCATTTTAGTGCAGTGCTTCTTAATTAGGAATGCTGTTGAATGTAGGGGTCTTTAAAATATACAGTGTAACTCCAGGCTCATTGACTTTGTTTTTCAGGGTGATCTAGCCCTGTGTAATTTGGAAGTGTTGTTCTAGTTGATAAACATCTTGGGTTATATAAGAACTAGTGATTTAGTACTTTGTCTAAATGTATTTTTTTTTTTCCAGAATCCTGATGGGATTTAGTTTTCAGATGGTGGTAATCTCTTCCAGTTGTATATTTTTGTACTACTAGACTGTTGCTTTCTGGTTTTCCATTTTTTTAAGAACATGAAAGATTTATAATTAAAGTCACTGAAGAAAAACTGGGTTGGAAGTATATTTTTATCCAAATAATCCAGTAGTGTTGAATTTGATTTTCTATGTTGACACTAATTCTCTTCATCTTGTTTTATTAAGGATTTATTGGATACCTGAAAAGAATTGAGCTGTAGCACCCTTGAGGTTCTGAGTTGGAGTCACGAAATTTGTTTTGATAAGATCAGTATAATTGCTTGCTTAGTTTTGCCCATGCAACTTTTTCCTTATTGGATTGCAGTTCATAATACAGTGTTTAGATTCTCATCATTTAGTGTCCTCCTAGTGCTTGGAACTCATGACAGCCAAAAGTGATTCCTAAGCTTAACATGAAACATGTATAGAACATTGCTTTTCTCAATTTCAGTTTTTCCTCAGTTCTGAGATAAGACACTTGTTTTAGTACAAAAGTCTTGGAATGTAGCCACTTAGTGTCTTTACTGGTATAAATTAGTGTGTGTGTTTTGAACAAGTGAAAATCTTAAAACATTGATACTTTGCTTCCTGGCGGATCATCATTTGGAGAGGTCCTGAGATGAAGAATATTTCACTATTTCCAGAGCAAAATTAAGCTTCCCAGAAAAAGTAGTATATAGATTAAAATTCTTTATCCTTCTTTTTAAAGCTTTGTTCACTTGTGATGGGTGCCTGCGTTTCAGTATATACCTCATTCAGGATTCATCTGGAGCAAGTTGGCATTCTTTTTATTTGCAAAGCCCCCAAACTTCAAATTGAAGCCAAGAAGAATGGTGTTGGAATGGCCTACTGCAACTTGTAAAATAGTGCCCAAGGAGTGGGGAAAGTGGAGATTTGCAGTTTGTATTGGTCATTTGGAAAAGGAAATGGGAATTATGTGAATATAAAAAATAGAACATAGTGTAAATTTTGAGACCTAGTTTCATTTTTGAAAGAATTACCCCCTCAGGAAACAATTTCTAAGTCTTAAACTCAGGCAGCTGGTAACTTAAAAACCCATTCCAACTGGCTCTCTGTTACCAGAATCTTATTACAGTTAGGAAACTTATTTTTAGTTTACATAAAACCACCCATGTTGTTCTCAAGGAGAGTGCTTTACAGATACATACAAATTGGAATGTTTATTTGTCATTGACACCTTCACACAGCAAAGTGCATGACATGGGGATTTAGTGAGGAATCGGGTACAGTAGTAAGTCACACCTTCAGCTCAGTATTTAGAAAGAACATGTAATTGTGTTTGGAGTTAATTTTAGGTGGTTGTGGCTTTCAGGCTAAATTCATCTTCACCTGTTTTAGATTAAAATAAGAGGTGTTGGTTGTAGTGTTTGGTTTTTTTCTTTTTTCCTTTCCCCCTTTTCCCCTCTTCCCCTTTCCCTTTTCTTCTTTCCCTTTCCTTTTCCTTTTGAGACAGTCTCACTCTATTTCCCAGGCTAGAGTGCCATGGTGTCAGCCTAGCTCAACTCAGCTGGCAACCTCAAACTCCTGGGCTCAAGGGAGCCTTCTGCCTCAGCTTCCTGAGTAGCTGGGACTACAGGCATGTGCCACTGTGGCTGGCTAATTTTTGTTTATAAACTTTTAGTTGGCCAATTAATTTCTATTTTTAGTAGAGATGGGGGTCTTGCTCTTGCTCAGGCTGGCTTCGAACTCCTGATCTTGAATGATCCTCCTGCCTCGGCCTCCCAGAGTGCTAGGGTTATAGGCATGAGCCACCTTGCCCAGTCTGATGTAGTGTTTTATATGCCCTGTGGGGATGACTCTTAGACCTGGAGAATTACCACATCTTTAGTTGAGGGGTCCTTTGAAAAGCCCCTTAGTGCTAGCAGGATGAACCAAGTGAATTGAGTAAAATGGCGAGGTACTGGGGGAGGGGGGGCATAAGGAGGAGCTCACATTCAAATGATACAAATGAAGAATCTGAGGTGAAGAGGAAGAAATGAATTAATCGTTAGTTTAGAGGGGGGAAACAATTGGGAATGTGAACCACCAGAATTTAGATGTAAAACAAAGGATTATTAAGCTACAAATTTGAAGTAGATCTAGTTTGATGGTTTTTGACTTTCCGTTAGCCATGCTTTTGGGGATTTTAAATTGATTTATTTTACTTTTTTAAGAGATGAGGCCTCACTGTTCCCAGGCTGGAGTGCATTGGCCCAGTCATAGCTTACTGCAGCCATAAACTAGCTAGAACTTATAAGTATGTGCTATCATATCCAGCTAATTTTTTGCAGAGATGGGATCTTGCTGTGCTGCCCAGACTGATCTCAAACTCCTGGCTTCAAGTGATCCTCCCACCTTGGCCTCCCAGATTGCTGGGATTACAGGCATGAGCCACCATGCCCGGCCTAGCCATACTTTTGCACAAGCAAGTATTGGATAACTTGTCCAGCTTTGATACTGACAGGAAAACCAAGAAGTTAGGGCTGTTTAATGTACTAGTGAAATGGCTGGTTCATGTATTCTAGTTGTCTGGGACTTAATGGAGAACAGGTAGTTTACTGACTTGAGTTGGCAAAGTGTGGCAGTCCATTTGACATGAAATTGGCTTCAAGGAGTGAGGTTGGGAGAAGTAAAAACACTGATAAGGAGAGGGCTAAGGACTGAATCTTTGAAGGTATCTGCCTTTTAAGGTGTTGGGAGCTTCAGTGAAGACAATTGGAGTGATCAGGAAAGGAAGTAATGCCCTTGGGCACCTCTCTGCCAAACATGGGGCAGAGCCATTTTCATAAGATCTTGAACCACTTGCAAAGTGAATATCACAGAGGACAGAAGGTTCTTTTACACATTATTACACATCCTACTAAAATAGTAGTATATTCAGAATCCGGGCCAGTGTTGACTCCAGATTCCTTGTTTTCTGTTCCACTAAGTTTTAACTTTCTCAATCATAAAAAGCCATTTTATTGCCATTCAGTGACTGTCAGGATTTAGGGTGTGTCTTTGTAATTATAAAAAAGTAAAACATTCTCAAGGTAAGAAATATCAGTAGTATATACATTGAAAAATAATTACCAAGTCTTTGATAAAGGTAACTTGTTAAAATTGTGTAGTCTTGTTAGAAAGTTACGCATATATCATGAGCACATATTTATATAGATAGAAATCATGCTATAGATAGAAACCGTTATCCTTCAGTTTTTCCTGTTTATCTGAGGCATATATACTGTATAGACCTTCAATATATGCCATTATATGGGCAGGTACCATAATTGTTTCAGCAGTTAAGACATTTCTTTTTTTGAGACGGGGTCTCCCTCTTGCTCAGGCTGGTCTCGAACTCCTGACCTCGAGCAATCCGCCTGCCTCGGCCTCCCAGAGAGCTAGGATTACAGGCTTGAGCCACCGCGCCCGGCCAAGACATTTCTTGATAGGCCTACCAGGCTTTCCTGAGAGGGTGCCCAAGTGATGCACAATATATGACAAAAACTTTGCCATTGTCAAGGAAGGTGCGGATGGCTTGGCATTGTTTTAGTCTGTCATGTACACTACTAACCTTATAATGGGCATGATTTGAAGCTATGACTAGTTGATACCA